ACTTTATAATAATTACAGCATATAAAGCTGTTTTGAGTGTTGAGTTTTTAAAATGAGATGAGTTCTGGTAAAAGAAAAATAATTTCATTTACTTTAATATAAAAAAATCTGTATTGTTTAATAAAACATTAAGTTTAATTTCTTTATTTTAAACAGAAATAATAAGTTTTTGAGTAAAGATCGTTTTGTTCTGAACACGTCAATATTTAATAAAAAATAATAAAACAGTTTTTGATTGTTAACCCTCAGTAATTACTTTATAAATGATGTAATCTTACTCCTTGTACACAGAGTAATGTGAGTTAARGAAGTTTGTTCAACCTTTAGTTTGATTAATAATCCTGATAATTAGTATAAAAAGTTCCAAACTGACCTGTTTGTTCTTCAGCTTCAGTTGGTGTGAGAGCTGCAGGAAACAGACCTCCTGGAACCAGAACAACCAGGAGGAGATTCATCCAGGAGAGGAGGAGGAGGACGAAGAGGAGGAGGAGGAGGATGAAGATGAGGAGGAGGAGGAGGATGAAGAGGAGGAGGATGAAGAGGAGGACTAAGTGTGTCCCAGTTTCAGGTGAAGCCTGCAGACAGGTCTGCCTCCTCTCAGCTCTCCTTCATGTTTTTCCTAAATTCCTCTTGAATCTTTTCTTTGAGACAACATGAAGAGCTGCTCGTCTCGTCCCTCAGGACGTGTTTCAGATTAAAATAATCCCTCAGAGGAAACCATACACATTTAGCTGAGAGAAGGAGAGAGGACCTCTGGAGACTCGGATGTAATTAGTGAAGAAAAAAGAATCGGATCAGGTCAGGAGGAGTTTTACAAACAGAATCCTGAATGAGAAAAAATGGTTTTATTCTGATTTAACCCTTTGGATTGTGTCTGAAAAGCCTTCATTTGAACCAGAAACAAACAAACAAACAAATAATAATAATGAAAAGGACTCATTTGAACAGTTTTTAACAATATTTCAATTTATTAAAATGATTTCTGCAACAAAATTAATAAAAACACATAAATAAAGTGAATTTGTTTTGATCAAACATCACTTTAAGACAAAATAAACCAGATTAAACAACTAACCAACCAGTTAAGTAACCAACCAGTCAACCAGTTATTGTTGATAAAAAAATATAATTCAATATAACATTTAGGTCTGTGAAATGTGACTTTACACATTAAAGACAAAACAAATTGTATATTTATTGTATACATTCATGTTTTCATCAAAATATACCCCAAAAATCTCATCAAGTCGTAAAATTTCACCAAAATAGATTTTAGTTTCATTAAAAGTCAAACCTTTTATTTTGAAGGAGCGCCGCCGCTGCAGTAAAAACATCCGGTTTGTTGCGTCACTTCATCTTTACGCTCACGTAGCCAATCAGAAGGAGTTGTACGTAACTTACGTGCAGTTTGACTCCGTGTAAAGGTGCGTGCTGTGACTTTCCTCCTGTTTGTTCTTTGATTAATTTTATATTAAATTAAATTTAAATGTTTAAACAGCAGAGCTGCATTAATATAACCTGTTAGAGTTGAGTTATCTGAAATGTTTAATAAACCGACCTGCGCTAAAGCTAGCAACAAGCCGCTGCTAGCTTTAGCTGGTTAGCACTCCTTGACTGAGCTGCTAGTTAACAAGTTAGCAGGTAGTTGTGGAACTAGTTAAATAATAAGTTAACTGCTGGTGTTGTCCTACAGAAACTCTCAGCCGGGTCAGCAGGGTAGAACCGGGTCACCTTGGTGGGTGTGTGTCCGACCTGAGCTCCACGCCGCCCCGGCAGAATGTCCCCAGATTAACCCGGAGCAGCAGCAGGACCCGTCTCGGATCGTCTCTAATCCCATAATCTGGCTCTGGCTTCGTCATGGTTCGGCGCTTCGTGGTGAACCTGCTGCGGTTCGGGAGCCGAACCTTCAGCTGCGGGTACCCGTCCCCCCGGCCCGTCCACACGGCGTCACCTGGCAGAACCGGTTCAGAACCAACAGCTGGGTTCAAACCGGGGAAGGTAGCWGTGGTCACCAAAACCACCCGGTACGAGTTCGAACAGCAGCGGTACCGGTACGCAGGCCTGTCCGAGGAGGACCTGAAGCAGCTGGTGAGGTTCTGGTTCTGTTTACGTATGTTTATTTCTACATCATGTTCTGTTGGACCAGAACCGCTTCAAAGTTCACCTGATGGTTAAAGTAGAACCTTGGGTTTTATCTGGGACTACAGAGACCTTAGAAGGTCATGAGACATGATAATAAGGTGGTAATAAATGATAATAAGGTGGTAATAAATGATAATAAGGTGGTAATAAATGATAATAAGGTGGTAATAAATGATAATAAGGTGGTAAAATTGATAATAAAGTGGTAATAAATGATAATAAGGTGGTAAAATTGATAATAAAGTGGTAATAAATGATAATAAGGTGGTAATAAATGAAAATAAAGTGGTAAATGATA